CTGTTTTGGGGTGCTTCCCCAATAGTTGATATGTTGTTCCCGAATCCAGTCATTTATAAAACCCCGGACTGTACTTTTTGGTACTCCTGGGTTTGTGTCTGGTTCCGGTGTTTCTTCTGACCCTCTTTTTGCAAGTTCGTCAGCCTTTTCGTTGCCTTCGACGATCGTACAGGGAAGTACCGCTTTGTAATGCCACATGGTCGAAACAAAGAAACCTAACATTCAATTTCATCCAATTTAAATATTTGATAGTCAATAATAGTTAATGTGTAAGCATTGTAAGCAGTGTAAGCAATCTTTTCATTACATGTATTAAATTGTTCACTTTCTTTTAGTTGCCTGAACTCTTAACAGATAACCTGAGGTGCCAGAGACCGACTCAATTAAACAGGGCATGTAAAATCAGATAGTTTTCCAAGTTGCTCAAAAACCTTAATGGCGCTCAACATTCTTTTGTCGTTATAGTATTATAGTATTTGTCGTTATAGTATTATAGTATCTTTCATTTTATCTTAAAGTAGAGATTGGCCCGAGAACAGGTCAAGCTACTATGATTTTATTTGTCCTGGTCAATTTATGACTCTGCGCAGTACCAGCAATTTGAGCTAAATAACCTCTTAAGTGTAATTATATCGTAGAATTCAAAAAGAAGGTAACAGTCACTACGATCTAGTTCAGCAGGAGTAGCACAAGAGGCGACGGTAGACAGGAACCAAAAGAAGGAATTTCTTTACGCTCTCCAATTTATGTCGACGAGTATGCAGACGAGTTCGGTTTCCAAGCAATTCTGGAGTAGGAGAAACCACCTCCAGTTCCACTGTTTACTAGCAGAGAAATAAAAAAACGTCATTTTGACACCTGCCGAATATACCTAGATAATTTACATGAAAATGACTGTTTAACGGGGTTATGATCGACAAGTAATGTTATTTTTAACAGACAAGTTATTTGTAAACAGGTTGTTATTTCAATGTGTTTATAAAATAACAGACCCGTTAAAAATGACACAGATTGTCAATCATAACCCCCTTAATCCGAAATTGAATGTTTTAATCCGAATTTAAAGTTTGGTAAATATGGACATATTTTAAACTACGAGGGCTCTCGCAAATGTTTAAAAACGGGAATTTCTAGGAAACAAAAATACGAGGCTCCTCGAAACGTTCCCAGGAGGAAATTAATTAAAATATACATTTATATAATTATTTAAAATAAAATTTAGTGACTCCGTCACAAGGATAATGAAGAGATTCAATAATAATTAAAAATGAAAGGAAAATGGGCAAATTTTCCCCACCCCCCAATAGAAGCAAGATATATGCCAAATGAAAGATATCAGTAAGGAAAACAGTTGTTTTCATTATAACTTCTCTCAATTATCTGTCCGTTTCGAGTTATATCATAGTGAATTTGACAAGATAAATGTAAATTGAAAACCGTCTGTATTAACTCTGAAAGTTCTGACATAAATCCCCCTCGCTTGTCATGGTAACGACTAAACAAACACCCAAATCCCGTGATGGAGGAAATGTGTAGTTGTCAAGTTATAGATGATTTAATTTAACTTAACTTTAGGTAAAATTTGTTATGGCGAAACTGTTGCCATAGAGACCTTGTACGACTAAACAAAAAACCAAATCCCGTGGTTAGAAAATGCGTAGTTGACAAGTTATAGATGATTTAATTTAACTAAAATCAGTTATATAGAAACTGTTGCCATAGGGACAGTTGTCATGGTAACAACTAAACAAAAACCCAAAATTGGTTGTAAGGAAGTTTGTAATTGTCAACTCATTGATGAATTAATTTAACTTTAGCTGAAATCAGTTACGGAGAAACTGTTGCCATAGGGGTATTATCATGGTAACGGGTAAACAAAAATCTAAATCCCGTGGTAAGGAAATGCGTAGTTGCCACATTATAGATGGTTTAATTTCAATAGTTTAGCTAAAATCAGTTACACAGAAACTGGTAACTACTAAACAAAAACTCATATCTCAAATTCATAGATTGCATAGTTGTCAAGTTATAGATAATATAATCTAACTTTAGTTTAGCTGAAAGGCATTTTTTGTATGCCAGCCACTTACTAGCTTGCACGAGAAATGCCTTCTACCTATTAGTTTCATTTTTTATTGATATTAGATTGTAATAAGTAATTAAAACGGTTGTAATGTTTAGAATTTTTCAATGCTAATACTTTTTATGTAGAAATTTTTTGAAGCACACTGTAAATTTCAAAATATTTTTGAATTGCAGCTCCAATAGATATTCATCTTCCTGTATAAAAGTTGGTAATTTAAAAAAATCATATAGCATTGTCTGGACCAACATGCATAGCATGCTCCACCCTGTATGTTTTACAAATGGCTTTATATGCGTTCTAATGTAACTGGGGTGATACTATTTATGATTAAATTATTATATTTGTCCATTACCTTGATCTCGGACCATTGGACCCGGTCCTTTGGAGAGCATATATAGGGCCCTATAACCAACGCGTAGACGCCCTTTGGCAAGTAATATAAGTGGAGGATAAAATCATCCACTGCATCATATACCCGGATATTATAAATGTTTTTATATTACTAAGAAGTAATTACTATTATTTGCCTGTAATAAGCACTACAATAACAGATTATGGGCACTTGCCTATCGTGCAATTACTTATAAATATTTAGGTTGATATAATTTGGAATGGACAAGTTATTAAAATGAATCGTAATGAAAAGAAATGTTCTCCCTTAAAAGATCTTTTAATTGGAATGTCCAATATAATTTATCATACATTTCTGCTCATTGTCCATAAATAATGCTCTGTATTCTACATTATATTCTTTACAGTTTAACAAACCTCCCTTAACCCCCCATTTATAATCAGATTTTTTTCAGATCAATAAGCTCCATCCCAATACAAAGCTTGATTTTTCCTCAATATTTAAAATTATTATCGTTATCGTTGTTTGATTATGAGATTATTTAAATATTTCAACCACTTTTAATCCCCCATTTTGATTTAATTTTTTTTAGAATCAAGAGGCTGCATTTTCTGACAGCTTATTTTTTATTAAAAGAGCATTCGTTTCATTTCTAAGTATTTTTTAAATATCTACCTCTCCTAACCTATTTCTTTATTCAGATTTTTGTTTTTAAATTAATAAACTTCGTTCTCTTATAGGGATTGATTTTTGCTAAAAATTTCGTGTTGATATCCCTCTTCGTTTTTGATTTATGATTTTTCTTTTAGAATATAATAATGTATATTCTATTAATTATTATTTATGTAAACGAGACTCTTATTAATTTAAAAATGAAATATACGAATTTTTCTATAACAGAGCGTTACTGAAAAAAAAAGAAAGAACTGCATATATTTTCTATGCAAATTCTAAATATTACAGCGAACTCTAAAATCATCCTCATGCGATGCAGCATCATTACATAAGGTCAAACGACCAATGCGGCAATGGTAGTTGTAGTATCAACAAGTTGCGTTCTCTCTCTGAAATTCTAACAATCTGACATTGATGTCAATAATCACCTTTATGGTAGTTCATCCTCCTGTGCAAGTGTGATACTATGAGAGAACATACATGAAACGAACTTGTTTTGAATTTCATAGTAGAAGTGGATCACGCATTTATTAAGGTTTCGGTAATGGTAAAATATTTATTATTTTTGAGAATGAACTATTGTAAGTAGTAAAAAACTAATTCAAATACAGCAATCGCCATAGAATCATACAATAGAAATTAGAAGAAAAAATAATATATAATAATATTATTACAATTAAACTTAAATTTAACATTTTAATTTTTCCAAAAATACAAAATTAACACAAACAAAGAAAACAATTCCCATAAAGCCAAAGCTGTCTGTGGGCTGGGTTTATTTGTTTATTTTATTTTTACATTTTTAAGTCCATCTTACTAACATTTTATATTTCCACATTGTTTAATTTGTTTTCACAAATCAAAAAATTTATAAATATCTTTCCTCGGTATATTTATTAAAAAGGATTTAATTTTTTTCCTAAAATAAAATACCGAATAAGTTTGAAACATATTTCCTTTGGTAAAAAATTTAAAAATCTAGGTCCCAAAAACACTTTTATGCCCTATTGGTTTTTTGGCAATTGGTATCATTAATTTTCCGGAATCTTTACTTCTAGTTTCATGACAATGACATATGTATTTTAAATCCAACGAATATTTTTCTTTAGTTAATAAACATACCCCCCTTAAGAAAACGAATAATACCATCCTCTATCATTTTTTCTGTTTGTCTATTAATTTCCTTTTTATAAATTTCTGGAATTCTATAGGGTTTTGAATATATAGGCTCTTCATCAGTTGTTCGAATAACATGAGTAGTTCGAGTAGTTGAAGAAAGAGGTTCATTGGGGTGTTGAAAAATTGTATTAAATTTTTTACATAATAATAATAATATTATAATAATAATAATAATACTCTCCCACTCTCCCTAATTCACCCCCTTACGAGTGAATTTCAACCCCTGAAGTCGACTGAACGACTTGTGTAGGGGAAGGGATGGCTATTATTATTATTATTATTATTATTATTATTATTATTATTATGCCGTGGCGCTCCGGGGCGACTTAAAGATGATAGATGGGGCCATTTGACTTACAGGTGAGGAAAACCCGGAAAACCTCACCCACCATCATCGAGACGGTAATGCATGGCGATTTTTTAATCTGCATGCCATATCAACAGAAATTTAATTTCTATTAATACGGCACACATCAAATCCTAAACCGAACCATGCAATTTAATTAAAAATCCACATGGTTTGGTCTGGGATTCGAAGCCCAGCAGTCTCAGACTCATAAACTTTCCTATAAATGAATATAAGCGCGTTAGACCGCTGCACTACCGACCCGATTTAATAATTTTATATTTTTCGTCTTCATCTAAATGTTCAAGTCGTAATAAATGTTCCATTTGATACTCATCAGGATAAGATGTTAAATTATGAAACTACACTTTACATATTTCGAATTCACTTAGTGGAAAAACCGGTAAAGGGCCTTGAAGATTTACATAAGTATAGTCACTACTAACATTATGAATTTCTACAACAGTTTGAGCATTTTCCACATTAACAATCCCTTCTGGAATGTAACAATGTGAATTAATTTTGGTTTGTGGAACATAATACGTTCCTTTTTCAATAAAATTAACCGGTAACTTTGTTTTCAAAATTTCGAAGTCATTTAATTTTAAGTTATAGTTGCTACTGTAATCTGAAGGATAACATAAATATACAGGAATAATAACAGCATCCTTAAATAGGAAATTTTCTTGAAAATTCCAATTAAATCCCATATTTCTTAGGTCTCTAAAACTGATAAGTCCATCAAAGAATGGATGAAAATCAAACAATGTAAAAATAATTTTTTCTTCAGTTTGAAATTCGTTAAAAGCAGAAATATGTGCTTCATATTTAGCTATTTGTTCGCCACAAGAAGTTTTTATAACATTTGGCTTAAATATTATAGAATTTGCATAATACTGTTTAGCTATATAAGGATTTAATAAGGATATATGGCTACCAGAATCTAAAAGCATATTGAGAGGTTTTTCAAAACCAATTATTTTAACATAAGAAAGGGTACGAGTATCTATAATATGTAATTCTAAGTATTTTCCTTTCCAGAGGCTGGAGGGATAAAATTTTGATGTTGGTCCTGGTGTTCATAATCAGAAAATGTCTCATTATCATTAAGTAAAACATTTTGGTTTGATATACTAGGACTATCATCATTTATATTGAATAATTCTTCAGAAGTGAAAGTTGGTCCTGATTGAGACTGAAATGTCATTTTTGGTTTAAATGATTGTCGAGTAATTCCTGACATTGGAATTGGTTGATTAGTAAGAGTTTGATTTTTGGGCTTCCAAACATTCGTTTGTTCAGGTTTTTGTTTACCAAAAACTTGCTGATTTGTAAATAATTTTTGTGGTACTTGTCTTGGGTTAACTCGAATTGGTTGACTAGGAATAAAAGGTAAATATTTTAAAAATGTATTTAAAAGTAATTTCTCGATATTTCCAATTATGCAATCTTTGCATCATTATTCATAGATACATCGTTATTAATAGAAGTAAATATCAGACTTCTTACATTTTGGCAACGCTGTGCAAATTCATGAGGGGTTTCTCTTTGATACCGTTTAAAATTATTTAATTCACTTAAAAGATCACTAAATGAGATTTTTAAAACATCTTTTATTGCTTCCCAATTATTTAACTCAGATCTACTTGAAATTAATTTTAGAGCGTGACCCTTTAGTTTACTAATTATATTTTTAAGAAGCATCTTTTTTATTAAATTTGTAGCATTGGCATAGAAGGTAAAGACATCATCACAAGTATCTATAAAGTTATTGAGTTGATTCGGTTCTCCATCAAAATTTGGAATAGTATGTAGAAAAAAATTCATTTCTTGGTAATTAAATTCCTCACCCATATTTTCTATTTTAATAGCCAAAATTTCTTTAAGAAGATCAGATAAATCAATATCACTTTCACTACTACTGTCTGTTCCTTGATCTACCTTACTTTTAGATTGTTTTCTAAAGTTTTTATTCTTTTTAACAGTATCCTTTAAACTTTTAATCATTAATATTGATTAAACTGTTTTTAATTGATAGATTAATTGACTTTGATCAAACCAAAAGGAATATTAGAATAATAAAAAAGGAAAATGAGAGAAATTTCTCACCCTGATTTCTAATATAACGATCCTCCTGTCTAGACTCGATCCGCAGCTTACTTGAAGTCAAAATCTCGCCCGCAGTTTGGATATGTAGTTTCTTTATTTTTCAATACCCTGAACAGGATACGCAGCTTCTTGAAGTCAAAACCTGGCAAATGGTCCAGATCCGCAGCTTCCTTGAAGTCAAAATCTTGCCCGGTAATGTGTAGTTGTACTTTGATTGCAACACTAATTTTCACAGAAAAAAAAATAGGACAGAGTTGTTCAGTCTCTGTGTAAATATATTTTTTTAACAGTTTTTTTATCACAAATTTTTCCGAAAGAGTTTCAATAATATTTCCGTTAAAGGTTTAAAAACCACCAATTCGCGAAGGCACTATCCACTAGGGCACTATGTCTCACTTCTTGTACAGGACTATCCTACTGACTGCGCCAATTATATATATTTTTAAGGTTTTTCGTTAATTATGTTGAATAACTCATAAGCTAGAGAAAAACTTTATTCTAGAATAGCAGGTTACAAAATAAGAACGTGATATCAACGTACATTAGATTTTTATAATAATGCGTTGAAAAAATACCAAGATATAAAAGATAAATGCTGGTAAATGCTAGTAATATTAATAGATAAGTTATGATAAAAATAATATTCAACAAAATATCAGTCTCTATCTAACAATAATGCACTTCACAGATAAATTCCGGGAATCCCTGACACATCAGTATGCCGGTTCTTATCAGGTAGAATGAAAGGGAAAGCTACCAGTGGTGTAGGTATTCCTTAACTAGTTCCAAGTTATCTACGTTTTTACTAATATTCCTAATGTTATTGTGAAAAATGTTAAAAATGGTTTGGTTTTGTGTTACTTGATTGTAGTCATTCATATTCTCCAGTACTTTAGTGGAAAATGAAGTGTAGTTATAGTCTCTGATAAAAGGATAAATCGCTTACTATTAGTGAAAATTGGATTTTTTTTATAATCTAAGATACTTTACTTGCTATTGATATGGTAGGTACAATTCAGAACTGAAGAAAAGTTTACTAGAAGCGAGAAGAACTGTACAGAATGAAATAGATTTTTTTTTAAATATACTAGTTTTCTGACTGATACTTCTAGTAGTAACAGACTTTTTTCTTTCCTTTTCTTTTGTTTTATTTTTTTGAGGTATTTGCTGACTTTTCTGTTTATCCTCTTTTCGTTCTTCCTTATGTTCCGCTACTTTTTCTTCTTTTTTCTCTATTTTTGCTCCATTGTCCTCAATATCGTTCAATTATCTCATTTTTTTATTATTATCTTGATTGAATGTAGATAAATTATTTTCTCTTGCTGGTGTATGTAGTGCGCTATTTGATTGTTGTATTACGATTGAATTATAGCTTTCTTCGATTTGTATAATATCTTCTACACTATAAGCTGTATTATTTCTGTTAAGTTTTTCTCCTTTTATGTAGCAATGAATAGAATAAAAGAACTAATAAATAAGAAGAGAGAAGCAAGAAAAAAATGGTATATTAACAGATTCCCGAAGATAAAGTAGTTCTTACACAACTAAAATACTCACTATTAAAAATGAATCAATAAACACATATCTCAGAAAATTGACGAACGATAAAAATACTAATCGCAAGCGTTATTCAATTTATTAAGTCAGCCATGTTTTAATATTTCCGAAACAGGTATAAGACATAGTACATAAAATATGTCTACTTTTACAGCACTTATTTTTTTGAAATAAAATGAATTTAGCTCAAAGCCAATATCACGTGAAATACTAACGACCGTTTCCCCTTCAAAAAACAAGTACTCCTTTGGCTAATACCGCAACAGGCATTGAATTACATCCGAAGGAAAGACAGCAGAGATAGAAATTAATTTTCAACACTCTCTACTTTGATTTTGCTCACCAAGGAAAACATCATTCTTGGACCGGTTTCGTCCTTATTAGGACTCCTCAGCAAGAAATAGATAGATACTTTTGTATTTACTTATTTTTTTATTCAGACTATAGTGGAATTAATAAATATATTAATTTTTTATTAGCGATTTTTTTTTTTTTAAGTAATGTAGATTAATAAATACTTCTCACTATGTTGTATTTTGAATCGAACAGACTTTATCCAAACCTTCGAGAAGTCTGAGATATTCAGAATATGTCGTGGCGAGCTGGGGCTCGTCGTGGCGTTGTCAGATAAAATCTGAGCTATAAAAAAAAACCTGAAAAATCTACACTGACACACCACGACGTGACAATAATATAAAAATAGCAAAATATTAACACTTTATAAACTTAAATACTTGACGCTTGGAATTCAATGTGACAAATAAACACAAATCGCAGGTAAATCATAAATTAGTTATGGCACGTTGCTTACGACAAACGCCGCATCTGACTAATTGAGAGAAGTAGATATGGCATGTATAATTAGTATTATGCACTCACGGCGTATTCTCTTAGGAAATAATACTAATTTTGAAGATACGGCGAAGATGCCATAGGTGAGTTCGGGCTACGCACTCTTTTCACTATTTTCACTCCTAAAGTACCTAAGGCGTTCGAAGTGGAGTGTGGATCGGGCATGCGCATAAGGTGATTTAAATCGATAATAAGATAATTGTGACTAATTCTTAAGCGAAAATGCTTTTTATTTGTTTCCCGTCCATACCATTAATATGGAAGAAACTTATACGGTTGTAACTGATAAGTACGATTAGGTTTTAGGTATTAGTATGTCACATTGACAACTGACATTGAACTCTGAGAGTAAAAGGAGTAAACCCATATGCGCACTCCGTCTACGCCCAAGTAACAATTTGATATTTTATAAAAGCTGAAAAAATGTTTACAGAACAAAATTTATAAAATAGAATATTAGCTAAGAACATTTCCGGAACATTCTGTCAACAGTAATAAACACAAAATGGGCGCAGTATTACAGAACTATTTGGTTCTTTTGTAAATTCTATAAGATTTGTTGAATGCAGTTACCGAACAGTTACTACACATTTACACAAACTTTAAACAAATGTTTTTTTAAACTTTTATAACTGTTTTATAAATTTTCAATTTTGAGGTTAGGTTGCATATCAAAATCAGTAACATTTTAGTTTTTTAAATGTATCTGGTGAAAACAAATTAATTCTATATTTGTCATAAAAGTAAATTCAACGCGATATTAGTACAATGGCAGTATCTACTTAAGAGATATCTATAACGCGGTTTAGACATAATGTATGACCTACAATAAAGTCATTTTTGGATGCGCAGCAAGAATTACTGTTAATTATATAGCACATACAATACTAAATTTTTAAGCGTCTCGAGTTTGATTCATATTTCTAATACTTTTTCAGTGTGAAACAAAAATTAAATTTATGCAATTTGATTTTTTTTTAGTAATAAGATTATGCTAATATTACTCATGATTAAAATCTTTAATTAACATTGGTTTTGTCTTAAATACTAGTAAAACCGACAGTAGAATTAGCTTTAAAACTGTCTTAGGTTTGTGTTAAATATGGCGGCTATTCAGAGGTATTAGAAAGTTATTTTAAGACTGAATCATAATTATAAAATATTATTGTAGTAAAAACAGTTGTAATACAATAATTAAGTTGTATTACTCATTTCTACAAAACAAGTTCATCATGGTTTGTTGTATAATAGTTTCATATTGCTGCACTATATGACAAAATATAACATAACCTTACTAAATCGTTTCCGATTTAAGTATTTGGGAATTGAAATGATTAGATTTGTTTCTACAGCTTTATAGAGCAAGCATAATTTTTAATATTACGAGAATAAGCAAATTTAACATGGACATCGCCAAAAATATGGCTTTCTTTTA